CCTTTTTGGTCATAAAGATAAGAGTAATACATCTTTTGAATCTTTAAAAGGTCTACTTTAATTTGTGTGCACTCACAATAACAACAAAACGTTGTGCTTTTGTAAAATAATGAAAGCAAACAGGCTGCACTTTCTGCCGTCTCGGTCTCTTTGAGCTTGAGCACATCAAAAAAAATGGTTAAAAACCAATCCGGAACTTGCCTCACAGACATGAAAAAAAATTTGAAAGTGAACTGTCTACAGATTCTTCAGGGTCTTCAGATTGGTCCACTGTTTTGGAACTGACATTGATGAGTGGCGCTGTTTGTAAAAGTTGAAATTCTTTTAACTTGACGCGGCATCTTAAAAACATTGCGCTAATGTATAAGATGCTGCAAAAGATGCGATATGCGCATGTAATAGGCATATATATATATATATATCGCTAGGGCATGTTTACATAGAAAACAATGTGAAAGTAGCACATTGGAATGGACAAACGCATTCTGTGTGAACGGCTCCTTACAGTCTAAAGTGGATCTAAAGGCCTAGATCCACTTACAGCTGTTTTATAGAGTTCGGTCCGTGCCCAGGGCACCGCTGTGTCATAATCCAGCCCTGTAAAAGTTTTTTCAGAAGGTGTTTTTTCAGCTGAATAATCGGTACACTGTACTGTGTTTGGGGAAGGTGCGCCATCTTACTCAACAGAGAACTGTTTATGAACTATTTTACACATTAAAAACTCAAGACTTCATATTGGTTATTTTAGTAGCATTAAAAATAAACTGGGAATAAATTATATACAGAAAGCAAGCAAATACTGTTCCCCATCACTGAAGCGGACAGTCTATGACTTTTGGCGCTCTCTGCAAATGAATCTCTTCCTACTGTATTTGCATGTTTCTCTATGCATGGATGATGAAATACTCTACTAAATTTGCCAAAAAGTGCAGAGCACACTGTGTGGAGTACTGTAGTGCACTCAACTAGACCTTCCAGTTGGATAGATGAACTAAAAGTATTATCAGCCACATTTATGAACACATTTTTTATTTATTTCTTGACTCATTGGCTGAATTTGGCTCACTAGCATTCTACTCTTATAATTTCTGCCATATATTTTAGAATGAATGACTCTTATGAGCTGGTTCTTTTAATGAATCACACAAAAGAGGGACTGGGTGGATAAGGTTTCCCCACTGTCTGCAACTGTAACTGTGTCCTGATTTGACTCTAGACGTTGGTTGGATTTCTGATTGTGTGTCTCTGTCTTATGTGCATGTAGGGGTGTTGATCTACTCTCCATTCTGACGAAAGTGAATAGCGATGTGAGCAAAAAGACGGACAAAAGCGGTTTAAAGAAGCAGATGCCACAGCCAGAGTTCACCCTCACCAAGAGAGTGGTTTTCCCTCCACCCAAAACTCGCCCGCCCCTTCCATAATGTCCTACTGCAGTCCATGATACCTCTCAAACACATCAGCATGCACAGACACACAGATGTTCATCAGCAATGTTTACATGACCTGTGATGTGATGATTATAAATGTGATGAAATACTGTATGCTGTTTACATACGGTAATTTCCACTTCCCTACGAAAACAAATGGAATATTTTAGATAATTTATGTAATCAACAAGTAGTTGTTTTAAAATCGTAGTGACAATAATACACAGTGTGCACAAGCCTCAGATGAGCACAATACAATCTATGCATGTGAATGGATTTTTGATGCTGTCCTCAGGCAGGACATGAGCACATATTGCACACATGGGGATGTATTCAATAGATCTGCCAGCTACTATTGTAGAATAAATGTCTTGTTTTTGTTGACTTTCTTTCATAAGGACCTGTTTACAAGTTTTCAGTAACGTGTTTTGTTACAGGTCACAGATAGATGATATAGTCTTATTGTTTAATACAGGACAGTCCTGCACAATCATGAAGTGTAAATAGAACATTAAATTATCAAATTCGCCCCAAAACAATGCTGTTTATGTTTCTGTTGGGGAAAAGACTATGATTGTACTTGTGTGTATCTGTCCAAGAGGCACGATGCTCTAATATTTGATGAAAAAGCACTTTTGTTTGTTGCTCTGCATAGTTTTCACACAAGAGGGTACTGTTGCAACTAACAGTTTATTAGCCTGCTACACCAGCCTGCTGCTGCTGTTTATTGCCCTCTGCACTCTAAATAAATAAAATAAAAATTGTATGGTGACCTAGTCCTACTTAAAATTCATGAGATATTTAATTCATTGATTCTTCCTGATTCCTCATTTTCATCTTTTACATTTTCCTTTCTAAAATAGCCTACCATTTACATACACTCAGAAAGTCTTCCAGTTTTGTCGACATTCACACAAAGACCAGTCACTAGTCAGGTGGCTACACAGCATTTGACCTCTGGATTTTTACAAAAAAAAAATCAAATAAAAAATCAGGTTTAAGAAGTGTTTCAACATTGCATCATACTGATGAACGCATTCATTTTTGTTTGAATTATCACTCAGATTATTTAACCATATTACTGTCTTTGGAAGGCTTTTGTCTTTTGTTAAAATTGACAAATTTACTTTTTCTCTCTCCATGTAATGCATGGATTCCCAAACTTTTTGTCATTACAATTCTTTCAACTAATATATTTACTTGAAGCACCCTTAGATTTTAAAATAAATATTGTAATAATTAATAAGTATCACATTTGCATGTTCACGGTTCTCTGACGTTGGTTAATGATCACATTACATGTAGGTAACATAAAATATTTCATCTTTTTTAGTAACTCTTTTATTTTGATTGTTGTTACTTTAAAATGGTTTATTTCAGTTTTACAAATCCCCTGCAGTTCATTTACGAACTAATGTTTGTGAAACCTTGATAATGTAATGTTATGTTTAATGCACTTCATGTTGTTAATTAGAACAAATAGAATGTATTTTCTTACTCTTTGTATTTTTATATCAATATGGTACAAGATTGTACTACTTAAATTTGATAAACATAAATCAATAAAAGTAATCAAAAAGTAGTCTTGATTATATTAGCCTACCTAAAATGTGTAATGTAATGGATTACGTTACTAACTTTACGTTGTATTATTATTATTTTTACAATTTACTACAAAGGCCCTGTCCCAAATGGCACCCTAAACCCTCGCGGTCTTCCTCAAAGACTTTCGCCAACGACCACTCAAAGACAACTGACCAAAGACCATTTGAGATATTTTGTTTAATTTAATGTTTAAGTGTGACTGTCTGTATGATGTTAGCCTACTAGTGCAATGTGAATCTTCCTTTTATTGTGGCAAAATAAAGCTTAAACCAGAATCCGATTGGTTGTACCCTTTTATTAAAGGGGTCATATGATGCGATTTCAATTTTTCCTTTCTCTTTGGAGTGTTACAAGCTCTTGGTGCATAAAGAAGATCTGTAAAGTTGCAAGTTTAATGCACTTCATGTTGTTAATTAGAACAAATAGAATGTATTTTCTTACTCTTTGTATTTTTATATCAATATGGTACAAGATTGTCCTACTTAAATTTGATAAACATAAATCAATAAAAGTAATCAAAAAGTAGTCTTGATTATATTAGCCTACCTAAAATGTGTAATGTAATGGATTACGTTACTAACTTTACGTTGTATTATTATTATTTTTACAATTTACTACAAAGGCCCTGTCCCAAATGGCACCCTAAACCCTCGCGGTCTTCCTCAAAGACTTTCGCCAACGACCACTCAAAGACAACTGACCAAAGACCATTTGAGATATTTTGTTTAATTTAATGTTTAAGTGTGACTGTCTGTATGATGTTAGCCTACTAGTGCAATGTGAATCTTCCTTTTATTGTGGCAAAATAAAGCTTAAACCAGAATCCGATTGGTTGTACCCTTTTATTAAAGGGGTCATATGATGCGATTTCAATTTTTCCTTTCTCTTTGGAGTGTTACAAGCTCTTGGTGCATAATAGAGCTGACCTGTGCTGGTCACTGAGGAAATACAACAACTTTGCGCTGTGGATCGGCTTTCACTGTGGACGAAGCGGAGTCCAGCCCGAGGTCGTCACATGTTGTTGCCGCAAGCCCGCCGGCCGCTCCTCACTCTAGGCCTCCGTGTGTGATGCTGTGTTTCGTTGTGAAAGCGAAACTACTTTGTTGAATTAGCATTGTTACTAGTTGAAATGTACTTCCTGATATAAAGAATTAGCATTTTAACTAGTGAAAATGTAATTCCTGATATCAAGAATTAGCATTGTTACTAGTGGAAATCTAATTCCTGATATCAAGAATTAAAATTTGAACTAGTGAAAACTGAATTGTTGATATCAAGAATTCATATCTCGAGGATGAATAAAAGTCAAAACGGCTTGCCATACTTTAACAGTGTATGGTTGCAAGCTGCAACCATAGACTGTTAAAAAAAAAGGTACAACCAATCCCAAAAGCGTACGAATGGTGGAGCCAGAGATCGTCTTATTGAAAAAGGAGATGGCACACTCGGCGCCAAACCGGGTAACTACATGACTGGCTGTCAAAACCACAGATATACATATCTGTGTTCAAAACGGTCAAGATACCAGAGAAGTGAATGGGCTGTGCCGTAAAACGAACCACACGAGTCGCAATATCATCCCTGATTTCTACTTATACACGCTAAAATGAACATGTCGTGCCAAAACCTGTTAAAGATCAACGGACAGTCAGCCTATATACTGTGGCGAGTTGTTCCCACACAAAAGCAGTCTATTCAGCGTGCTGAAGTGTCTTCTTTATTGACTTTCAGTCAAGAAAAACACATTATAATCTCCTCTTCGGGATTCCGCAACGTTACCCATTACAGAGGGTTCCCCTGTAGGAGGGGCTCTGGCGCAGTGCTGCTTGGAAGGCGGGGCTTATAGTCAGAATACTGGAATACTATTGGCCAGTGCTCTTGCCAATCCTCGCAGAAGCGGCATACTCCAGCAATAATGGCCGATTCTCCGTAAGAAGCTCTTTATATTTTGACCTACAAGCTCTTCTTATTTGCTTTTACCCACACTAGTTTAATAATAGTTGTATCTAAACACGTACGTGTCTGTTTAATGTAACCTCTGCAGCGGTTCCGACTGAGGTGGATGGCAGAGTGTTTATTAAATACACTTATGGACAGGAAGGATGTATTGTTTGTTATAATGGAGTGTCTCTTATATGTTTTGGGCTGTATTTGTATTTCTGTAGTTTGCTCTTATCTAGCATGTTTGCATTATGTTCCATCATTATTCTAACCAGGTTTTAACATACTGTTTTCGTCTCAGAGTCACCATGGCTCATCAACGCTGTCAGGATAAAACACCCGTCCAGATCCTGCATGAATATGGCATTAAAATGGGCAGTGCGCCTGTGTACGAGCTCATCCAGGCTGATGGAGACAAGCACCAGCCCTCCTTCATGTTCAGTGTCACTATAGGAGACATCACATGCAATGGTCTGATATTTACATACATGTTTATTTATTTGCATAACATCTAGTAAGAGTATAAATAATGTATAGTGCACACTAGTATTCTAATAGACGATATTTTGTTCTTAAAGGTCGAGGATCCACTAAAAAGGCTGCTAAACATGAAGCTGCAGAAGCCGCTTTGAAATTATTGAAACGAGACACCCAGCTAAAGTAAAATCCACACTGTAGATGTGATATGAATTATTATAGATCATTTACTATAGTCATCCGTGTTTTCTGAATCCTTCACAGTGATCAGAGAGATGGTCTTTCTCCTGAAGCCCGTGACGCATCCAATACTGTAGGAGTACTGCAGGTATCTGACAACAACTGACCCATATATTTAGTCTCTTATGCACAAATAGTGTTAAAAAGCTTATTTATCAGGCTTGACCAGCCAATGCGCATGTGCAGTCCTAAGTGCGTGTCTCAAAACACTGATGCTGCGTCTGAAATCAAGTACTTCCCTACTATATAGTATGTGAAAAATAGTACGCCAAGAGTAGTATGTCCGAATTCATATGGTGCGTACTTGTGCACTATTCTATGTTGTACGTTCAGTACATGATTTCAGACGCATCTTGACTGTTTCGATAGTACTCTGCGCTTTTATTGGCAGCTGCAGTGACGCAATGACTTAGTGATTGGCTCTTTTATTCAGGAGGCGGGACTATTCTGCCATATTGCCTGTTGCACTGTGTCCCATTCATAAGTAATATAAGTGCACCATCTTTGTCTATCTAAAGTAGAGATGCATGATATTATCGGAACGATATCGGAATCGGCCGATAATGGCTTAAAATGTGAACATTGGCATCGGTCCGATATGTACAATTATGCCGATATGTCTTGCCGATAAGACGAATAAGTCACATGTGCTCAGGGTGTGCTTAGCAATAAGATCAAGTTAGCAGTGTGGCTCATTCTTTAAGCAAAGTTTTGCCTGAATGATGATTGGATCGCTGCATTTAAACTGAGAATGCATGGACAGAATGACTAGGGATGGGCGGATCGATCCTTAAGTATCGATACTTTTGATACTGATGTTGTATCGAAAGGATCGATCCTCACATAAAAATATAAACATAAAACGTTGAATACTGATATTTGAAATGATTTAAAACATGAAAAAAATAAATAATAAAGAAATAAAAGAAATAAAAAGCCGAAATTTGAAATTAAAACCGTCAGTAGGTGGCAGCAAGTCACTGTTAATAAGTGAGTCATTGCGATTGAACCGAATCTCATTCGGAACGAAACACCGTCATTGCTCAGAGACGCAGAACTGTTCTGTGGTGACTATTTGGAATGATTTTTGGTTGGCGAAATGGAGCAAAAAACAGGCAATATGGTGTCTAAAACGTAAGTCTCTTAATTAACTTATTGTTTATTGAATTCAATGTCACATTTGTAATCATGGTAATTTTTGGAGAAAAATGGCACTCTTCGTGTGAAATTGAATAACTATATGAAGTGGAATAAATATATAAATTTTCTGCCATCATGTCTTGAATTTGTGATCAATCTAAATGCACTTTAATAGACTGAATCATGCAGTGAAAGAAAACACACTAAATGCGCACACGCACTAGTCTAGACTTCACGTAATGTATGCATGCGCTCTGTAGGGATGTTTTGAATGGTTTTTGCAAAATACTCGATAATGTCAAATCGCACATCGTTAAAACAACAATTACGATATTATCGCAGACGATATATATCGCACACCCCTAGATAGAGCCCATTTCTCCTGCTCATCGGAACACACGCAAATGCTGAAAGACAGAACCATTCAATCACAGACAGCGTTTGCTGCTGACGCATGACTCAGTCACAGTGTTTGTTCAAATAGGGCTGCGTTTCCCAAAAGCATCAGAAGCATAAGTAGATCTTAAGAAACCATTGCTACATTATTACATTAGCCTACATAACATTGTTACTATATATACAATTAATTCTCAAAAATGCATCACGGTTTCCTCACAAATATGAAGCAGCAATAATAATAAATGTTTATTGAGTAGCAAATGATATTAGAATTATTTCTGAAGGATCATGTGACACTGAAGACTGGAGTAATGATGCTGAAAACTCAGCTTTGATCACCGATGCATTGTAAATTATATTTTAAAATATATTAAAATAGAATATAGTTAATTTTAATTGTTATATTTCACAATATTGCTGCTTTTACTGTTTGTTTGTTTTTTTGTTCAAATAAGTGCAGCCTTGAGACTGTTAAAGGGGTCATATGATGTTGCTAAAAAGAACATTATTTTGTGTATTTGGTGTAATGCAATGTGTTTGTGCGGTTTAAAGGTAAAAATATATAGCTTACATGAAAAAAAAAATCACAAACACGACACTTGTAAATTAAATAATTTTATATATACAGATTTATTTATTAATGTGTAATATGTTTTTTTTTTCCCAAACAGATTATGAGCTCTAAAAGATTTTCAGACTTAAAACTCTTTTGCTGTAGACCATCTACACATGTTAAATCTTGAAATAAAATGTTAAGGTTACCACTGCATCTTTCTGGAAAAAAAAAAGTGATTGATTTATAGTTGATTTATAATTATTTTCAAAGCTTTCAATGTACTAAAAGAACTTCATTATTGTTTATTTAATTCTAACAAATAATTTTTTGTTAAAAAAATACAAATAATTTGTTTAGAATCTCTGCACAGGAGACACTTGGTGTTGTTTCCAAACAAAAGGAAATATATCGGTATCGGCATCGCTTGTTGGCAAAAATGAGTTGAAAAATATCGGCAAAAATCCAATATCGTGCATCCCTAATCTAAAGTATTTGAAAACTGCCCAGAATACCCTAGCAAACACAGGACACTGTGTGGGTCTGTCTGAGAGCCTGCGTGTGCGTTTGAATGGTGCTGTGTGTTGTGTCAGGAGCTGGCCATGCAGAGGGTGTGGTGTCTGCCGGAGTATGTGGTGTGTATGGAGACAGGGCCTGATCACATGAAGGAGTTCACCGTTACCTGCCGTCTGGAAGGACTGGAAGAGTCAGGTGCCGTTAGCTGCTCTCTCATACCGTGACATCTCGCTGCACTCTGAGCGCTCAGCTGCTGATGCTTTGTGATGTGCGTTTGCTCATCAGGCTCTGGCAGCTCCAAAAAGTTGGCCAGACGTGTAGCAGCCGAACGTATGCTGGGGAAACTGCAGAGTCTGTCCGGATCTCCTGAGATCACGTGGGTTAGTGACGCTCATCTGTTCACTCCTGCACTGGGATTCTTTCACCAAAAATTCTAGATCCATCAAAGTTCTTAATTAGAAGTTTGTGAAGGTGCACCTAGAGTCCAGAAACCACCCAAAGATGCATTTACACTGGGATGTTAGTTCACACAAACATACCTGAGAGCCTTCAAATGAGTGCAACAGCCTTGGACAAAAATGATGAATAAGTATTGGAACATTGGAAAAGAAACAGCTAGACAGTGTTTCTGCGCTGTAAACTCTTTATTTGAACAAAAAATAATATTATTTAAAAAAAAAAATGTTTTAGATGACCTAATTAGGGGTTAACATTTCTTAACTAATTAATTGCACATATTTCTCTAATTAATTGTTATGAATCACACCTAACATTAAAGGGATAGTTCATCCAAAAATGAAAATTCTGTCATTAATTACTCACCCTCATGTCGTTCCAAACCTGTAAGACCTCCGTTCATCTTCAGAACACGATTTAAGATATTTTTGATGAAATCAGAGAGCTCTCTGACCCTTCATAGACAGCAACGCAACTGATTGCGCTTGATCTCGGGAGCAGGCTTATTTCATGTAAACAGGATTAGATCGCGTCTTTTTCTTTCCCAGCCACTGCTACTTTATTAGAAGAGTACCCTACTGATCCAGGGACAGTAATTTAAAATAATAATAATTGAAAAATTAATTGAAAAATAATATAATAATGTTGTGTAGTCTATAATACTATAGACACAGCCAGTTTTACTCATTTAAATATTTATTCGTGATAAAATAATTACTTTCTAATTGTATTGGAGTCTTACACACATGCTATACAGTTAATCTGAGTCGTGCATTAATTTGAGTGCTGACAGATATTATGGGAGTGGCTTGATGGAACGCAGGAGATGCAGATAACTTGATCTTGACCCTTAAGAAACTTTAATGCTGTCACGTAACAAATCTGCTTCAAAGATAAAATTACATGAATTGCTAATTACAGCATTAAAATAAAAATGGCAAGCCTGTACAAATACTAGAAATCATGAATATAAATAATTGGGAATCATGTAAAATAAAATAAAAACAGTGCACATTTCATTTATCTATTATACCATTTATGTAGTTTTGTTCACTTGGCTGTTTCCTTATAAAGGTCCAGAAATTTGTCAGGTTTTTCGTCAGGTGTCTTTTTTAACTATATGATGTCATTACGTTGCTGTCTTGCCGCCAGCCAATCGCTGCATTGCTGATCGTGGTTTCGAGTATCGACACATCTGCCCTTTACGGGGAACACGAGAACGCGCAGTAATCTTAGACAACTTAATCCAGATATTTTAATCAAATTAGCCAGAGATCAGTTAACACGATTAGAATATCTGGCATCTGTCAAATCATCTCAGATGTATTAAGCGAGGTACGAAGAACGGGCCCCAGATTTTGGGAAAAGATATTTGCATAGCTACTCCAGGAAGTAAAAACGCATTACAACAGCTAATATTAAGTGCATAAATTGGTATGTAATTTTCGCAGCCCTAAAAATAGATATAAATAATTGTCTCACAGTAAAAATTAAAGTGGTTTATGTTTATTTCACTCGTAGTTTAGGTCCGGGATTCCATTTGTCGGCCAAACCCCTTTGACATCAAATATTTTCTTAAAGCACCCCCTGAGATTTCAGTTTTATTTTATTTCAATTAATTAGCAGTTCTGTTTATTTTAATTTTACATTTGTATGTTTTAATTAGTGTTATTAGCTGATTATTGTTGTACACAATTCATGTATTAAGCATAATACATGTCTTTATGATGAATTTTCATAGTTTAAGACTAAGTCTGGGCATGGTACAAGGGCAAAACCTACACCTAATAAAATCTGCACATTAAAGCTTCAAAAGTTAGCATTTAAGCCATGGTAAAAAAAAGTTCCCAATGTAGTTATATGACCTTCATGTAACAAAAAGAAAAATCATCCCCTGAAAAATAAAAGAGCCTGAAGTTGAAGAAACACCCTTAAATAGAATTTGACGTGTCACCTTGACTCATAAATGATTTGTGCTCTTAATGCCATTGCATCAGTTTTTCAGCGTGAGGAATTGAATCGCGGCTGAATGAGTCACCATCAGATCATGAGGTGCTTCCACTCACAAACACTAAATGAGCAGCAGGGTCAGGATTTCAATTCGATCAGATGTGCTCATATTTTGACCCCTTGTCCCCTGTGGTCCCCAGAGCCCACCGTCTCGCGTGTATGTGGAAAGCTTACGGCAGTCCACAGGGGAGAAGATTTCCCTCCTGAGGAGGACGCCGCTCAGCATCCCGAACACAGACTACATTCAGATGCTGCTGGAGATCTCACTGGAGCTGGGCTTTCAGGTCACATACATAGACATCGGTTGGTTCTCATTTCTCACTTTGTGTCGTTTTGTGTCATCAGAGCTGGATATGTTTGATATATGTGACCCTGGAGCACAAAACCAGTCTTAAGTCACTTGGGTATATTTGTAGCAATAGCCAACAATACATTGTATGTGTCAAAATGATCGATTTTTCTTTTATGCCAAAAATCATTAGGATATTAAGTAAAGATATTTTGTAAATTTCCTACTGTAAATATATCAAAACCTTATGTGTGTGTGTTTTGCAGATGAGCTGACAGTGAACGGTCAGTACCAGTGTTTAGTCGAACTGTCCACCCGGCCGGTGACGGTGTGCCACGGTACAGGGATGACCAGCAGTAACGCCCACAACACCGCAGCACATAACGCCCTGCAGTACATCAAGATGGTCGCTAGTAAACACTAACAGCAGGTCTGGGATCAGTGTGCGCATGAATTCTGACCTGCACGTCCTGATCCCACACTAGCACTGCAACCAATGGACACCTTCTGCTGTAAGAGACCCGACTCTATGCAGAAAATAAATCAATTTCTGGGTTACGACACGAGTTTATTCTTGGATGTTGCAAAGTGCTACATTATCAGGTATATCCATTTTCACAGTGTACTTCTAACTGGATTCAGTCAGATGTTTTTGTGTTTGTCACTGAAACCTGATCAGCGTCTTTTTTTGCTTCATAAATCCATTGTAAACATATTACAGTTTTTTTTTAATTGCTTACACACAAGCGGCGCTTTTCCACTGCGTGGTACGACTCGGCTCGGCTCAGCTCGGCTTGTGTTTCCACTGCAGTTCAGTACCGCTTTAGAGTGGGCGGGATTATTCACGTTGTTAGTTGCGCCGCCTCTACTGCCGCGACTCCTGAAAAACGTTTTCATTCCGCGTCGCCCCATCAAGCTCTCGCTGGATCCGCTCCTCTGCTATCAACGAGAGGTACTTCCTCAACAGACAACGAAACAGCCATTTTTTGGTTGTTAAAAAAGGTGTGCTCGTTCAAAACAGTTGCGTTCGATCCTTCGCTGACTGTGCTGATTTAAATCTAGCAGGTCTGGTCTCGTGTTGCAAGTTCAGTGTGACGATTCTCTCCGGCCAATCAGTGATCAGCATAGTTTACACGTCACGTTTTGGTAACAGTACGGTTCGCTTGAAACCTCAACCGAGGTTGTCCTGAAAAAAGTACCAGGTACTGTACCTAGTGGAAAACCCCTAAAAGTGAACCGTACCGAACCGTACCATGCAGTGGAAAAGCACTATAAAAGTTATACTCGAGGCACACTCTAGTGGTCACAACAATGTAGCTATAGCACACAACAAACCGTTACACACGCTGGGTTCACATTTGGTTCAGAAACGGATTCATTTTGTTTTATTAATTTTGAAACTGCAGAAGTGATTATTTTACTTATTTTATTGCTTTGCCTATAACTATTTTTCATAGGCAAAGTTCATTTGGGCTTAATATATTGGAGCAAAACAATGCACTAAAGAAAACCACGATGAAGTATGCATACTGAAACCGTTAACGAGGTTTTGAGGGTGAACCAGTGAACCAATCTTTGCGCGTCATAGATCACGTGCTTTTGGCAAAAAACTAAAACTCTTGATATAACGCTTGTGATTTATTTCCCGCCAAGCTTCACTACACGCTATGCAACGTAGTAGGGCCCCTATCAACCTCTGGGCCCTATGCGCTCTGTCAGCCTTTTCCGCCCCGTGTCTATCTGAGGAATTCAATCCAACACTCCTTTATTATAATACATTCTGAAAGCCGATGCTGAAAGCTTTAATAGTTACCTCTTACAATGATTACATGTAGGAGGTAGGCCTATATAATTTAAATTAAAGTTTCAAAAGAATTCAGCATGTGTGTCACGGCAAGACTACATATGTGACCAGTCATAAGGCTCGATTTTATTAGATTTATTGAGATTTCTTTATTGAGAAAGCTGGATAAATAAGCTTTCCATTGATGTATGGTTTGTTAGGATGGGACAATATTTGGCCGAGATACAACTATTTAATATCTGGAATCTGAGGGTGCAAAAAAATCAAAATATTGAAAAAAATCGCCGTTAAAGTTGTCCAAATGAAGTCTTTAGCAATGCATATTACTAATCAAAAATTACGTTTTGATATATGTACGGTAGGAAATGTACAAAATATCTTCATGGAACATGATCTTTACTTAATATCCTAATGATTTTTGGCATAAAAGAAAAATTGATAATTTTGACACATACTTACATGTTGGCTATTGCTACAAATGTACCCCAGCGACTTAAGACTGCTTTTATGCTCCAGGGTCACGTATACTTAAAAAGGTCTTACTAAATAATGTTTTTTTCTGTTGATTGACCAGTTACAGTGTAAAAACCAATTTTTCTTGACCTTTACTTTTTTGACACATTGAACTATATTGCATCACAAGTTCAATATCCTTGAGAAACTACATTGTAATTTTTATTTATTGGTAACAAATGTAATTTCACTCTTTTGTTTGCTCACAGCAGTTATAGAAAGTGAATTCATTTGAACTTCTATATTTTAAAGTTAAACCAAAGAGACAAAAACTCTTTACTATAGGCTAATTAATGTCACATTTTGCTTGGTCGTTTAAAAGCGTTGGAACTACATGTGTTGAAGGGAGCTGGAAATTCATTCGGATTCAACATTGCATAAATGGCACTTACCTGTACGATAATGAACTGCTTTGATGGCACATCAATCTTTAATTTGCACACCTTGCCTTCTGCTCTTATCGCCTCCAAACAAGCATATGCTACATGTGAAAAAGCTGAAGTGAAACTATCCTAAAATAGAAGTAGTGCAACCTGTTTCGGTTGAGCAGTAACCAGAACTGAAGCCCCTTAAAATGAGTTACAAAAGCCAATATTGTGTCTAAAATGTAAGTCACTTAATAGTAAGTTTTCATAATTGATTGATATGGCTGCAGGAAGTGATCAAAACCAACACATCCAATGCAAGTAAGCTTTGACTATTAATTTTACTGAATATTATTTTGTTTATCCATTATATTAGAGAACTTTTTGAGGGAAATAGGTTTTTATTGATTTAACTGAGACGTCATTGTTTGCAGATGTTTACGACCCCGTTGTATTGATTGCAATATTGAGGTTTACAAAATGAACATGATTGTTCTCATAAATCAGCTGTTTCTTGTTGCAATATTTCATTAAGCCCTAAAAAAAGTAACTAATTGCGTTAGTTACTTTTTATGGAAAGTAATGTGTGACGTTACTTTTTCTCATCTTGGCTTGTTTGCTTTTAATACAAAAAGTTCTATTTTTGGCAAATGGAAAAGCCCTTTCATACCAAAAGTGAAATGAATAAGCGTCAGGCTGAAGGAAATGTAAATCCACGTCTGTACAGTAGAGGGCGCAACTCAAACCTTTCAGCTGTGCTGCCGTTCTGGATTGCACGAAGAATAGGACACGGGAGCAGAAAGTTCAACACTTTCTTCTCAATCACCACAAAAAAAAAAATAGAAAAAAATTCTAGTCATTTTTTCTTAGTATGGTTGAATTGGATCATCGAAGGTTAGCAGTAAAATAGGAATAAAATGGGATTAAATACATAGAGCATATTTGTGTTATTTAACATATTCATATTTAGTCTAGAACTGCAGTAACATCATGTTCACACAGCGCAACAGGAGAGCTGTCAGCAAATACATGGGAAAATAAAGTAACTGGCGTTAATTATTTGAAAAAGTAATTAATATATTTTCTTGTACATTTGTAAAGTAAGGCATGACTTTTTAGTTACTTGAAAAAAGTAATCGGATTACGTAACTCACATTTCTTGTAATGCGTTACACCCATAGACTATAAAAACATGGACGTAGTGTCCGTGACGTCACCCGTAGGTTTCCGAAGAGCATTTTTGATGCTCAAAGTGGGCGGAGCTGGCCGTCGCCATCTTGGCTCCCGGATAATCGAAAATGGGCAAAGAGGCGGGAGCTGGTTGCTGAAGCCACGCCCATCTAGCTCGCCAGTGGTGACAGCAGCGGCAATCCACCTGTCACTCAAGTGGCCACGCCCTTAATTATGCAGAACTTTAAGGCTTAATATAATTTAAACGGATGAGTTATAAAAAAAAATTCACCTCCCTCACAGTTGTCATGAAGGGCAAAATTAGCTATATAGACCAACATCATTTTTTGAACCAGGCTGTAAACATGTTTTTTTCTGCTGTAAATTTGGGCATTTTAACATGGGGAGTCTATGGGATTGACTCCCTTTTGCAGCCAGCCTCTAGCGGCCAGTTGACGAATTACAGTATAAATCACTTCTGTGTTGGTTTCACGAGAGAGAGAGCGGGAGGTTGCCGCTTGGTTTCACCCAACACTGATACCCCCATCCTCATAGAAGAGGTGTAAGTTACTGTATGAACTAACTTTTTAATGCCTATTATTTTTGAGTGAATTTAAAGCTCCATGAAGATAAAGAACCATGTATCATACATTTCTCAGTAAGCTTTCTTGGTCAGAAAAAAAAACATTTGCTCCTTAAATGTAGAATGAGTTCTGTAAGTATTTTTAGATACTGAGAAAGAAGAATATTACAATTACTCTTTAAAATAATAAAATTATTAATTAATAATAATTCATATGAGGTTCTGAATTCTAGTTGTAATATTGAGACTGATAATAAACGACAGACACAGGATACCGATAATGACTTGGAACACAAATATGTATTTATTACTATGAATTGAAATGTGAAACGGCGGGTCTGGAGAGTGTCTTAATGACACATCAGGAGCTGTACAGCAGTAGAGCATTGGAGCAGCTGTGAACAGAGAGAGATGGAACACATGATTAAAACCCCCACACACAGTGCAGGACGTCTCAGTGAGGATCTAACGAGATAGAAATTAAACGGGCATTTTAATAAGGCATCAGAAATCATTGGCAGGCTGTGACATGTTTTCATGCAATGGTGAGAAACTAACAGCGGATGCACTCACTACGCCTTCCCCTACGAGGAACTCGACAGGACCTATTTCTTAGTGTGGTTGGGCTCTGCAGGGTCTTTCTGGATGAAAGTGCGTCAGTGTGCAGAAGATGAGGATGGACTGTGCTCAGTAGAGTGTGTTGATATGGTTACATATGCGTTAAGGCACAGTGAAGGACTCAAACAGCGACATACGGGTCTACTAATGGCTACAGAGATCATCTCTGTCACTGTGACTACACTGTTTTTGGCTTTTTCTTTTTTTTTTTTTACATCTACTCACATGCTGCAGTTTCTTTTTTAATCTACTTACATAAAATAAAAATCTTTATAACTTTCTTAAAAAAAAAAAAACTACATTTAAAGAAAATAAAACATTCAGGTCTGCGCAGGCGAATCGAATTCAACAAAATACACGAGAATGATTTTACGAATGATTTTGTGTTTGATGAATGAGGTCCAAATGAGATCAAACGTAAGAAACTAGAGGTCCGTTCGCATTAGAATATTAGTGTACTACATACTATGCTGTACACTGCTTGTTTTAAAAACAGTATGGAAAACAGCATGCATTGTGCAAATGTATTCTGCTACATTGTTGTCACGTGATTTATCTCAGCGAGTTTAATTCAAGAAGTCATATCCAGTTTTTATCTAAGTAATAAAAATTTTATTTTTTAATGCAGTCTATAGAAATATCTCAACTTTTTGGTGTTTATGTATATATTGCGAGTCTGTTACACAGCAGAATCGGTATTATTAGTATCGGTATCGGTATTAGCATACTAGCATACTTCAGCAACATATTTCTATAGTTTGCACTTAGACGTTTTCAGTATGCACTAAATACCTGGATGATTCATTTGGAGTTTTGAGTTTGGAACAGCATACTAGAATACTACTTTTACTACTTAATGTCTATATGTACCAGAAATTGTAAGAAAAGTATGCATGGCATGTCAGGAAAAAAATAGCAGGCTAAATCGTGCACGATTTACTATTTCGTTCCCTTGATTTATAAATTGTGCGCACGATTTACTAATTCGTTCCCTTGATTTGCTAAATCCTGCACATGATTTATAAATCAAGAGAACTAATTAGTAAATTGTGCGCACGATTTAGCAAATCGAGGGAACGAAATAGTAATCATGTGCACATTTTAGTACATCGAGGGAACGAAATAGTAAATCGTGCACACAATTTATTTATTTTTTCTTGCATGTCATGTGCGGGGCGCCGTAGAATAGTATGGCAGGGTGCGGTTCCAAATTTGCAATGCATTATACAACCTGAGTACACTGAATGATGTATCCCACAATGCATCATGCTTGACTTCGTCCATTTCCGCAACAGATTAAATCAGATTTTTAAACGTCTTTTTGAATTAGTATTTACTCAGATTTACAAAAGTCACATTTTAACTCAGTTAAGTTTTTTTTTTTACAATTTATATCCGAGATGAAATCTGGACTTTGCCGAATTAAACGCATGGTGAGGTCATGTGAAAATGTAGTACACTACATGAAATGTTACAGCATACTGTGTAGTATGCAGTAGGATAGCTTTCCATTCCACACACTGCTCAGGTCTTTGCTGACATCCGTCTCCTATATGTTGTAAGCAGAGATGTAGGGCACTGAAGTATGTAGTATGCAGTAGCACTGAGATGCCAGCAGAGGCCGCTGCCGCTCTTGTTGTGAAGTTCATGTTCAGAACAATGAGTCGAGGGAAAATACAGTGTACACGTTTGCAGTGTACATGTCTGCTGGTCACTGGTGCGTTTTGAAGGGATAGTTCACCCAAAAAAGACAATTCTGTCATCATATACTTGTTCCAAACCTGTAAGACTTCGGTTAATTTTTGAAACGCAAATGAAGATACTTTTAATGAAATCTGAGAGGTTTTCTTCCTTACATTGAAAGTCAAGGTAACCAAAACTGAAAAGATCAACAACAAAAAAAGGCGTCATAAAGCTATCAAGCATTTTAATCCAAATCTTCTTTAGAGATATGGCCATTTGATGTGATGAACTGCAAATTTTTGTACTTTTATTTACATCTAAACAGTGATCGACACATACACAGAGCACATCAAATATGGTAAACATGGAAGCTTGTTTTACAACGACTTACAACTTTTACAAGTTTTGGTTACCTGAAATTGTAAATGGAAGGACAGAAACTGCTCAGGTTTATTACAAATCCTGCGTGTCAAACTAAACAAAATGGGTTTGGAATGACATGAGGGGAAGAAAACAACAGGTTTTTAATTTTGGGTGAACTATCCCTTTAAATGCAGTGTGTGTCTGACTTCTGGCTCAACCAATGGCATGACTTCAGGGCAAAAACTAGCTGTAATAATCTGTTTAGCAGGGCACTGACTAGTTTTTCTGAAGGTGGCGAGTGCTTGTAGAACCTGCTTGGAAAAAATAATTTCTTGAATTTGATTTGGTGCAATTAGAGGAGCATAAATGTCACACTTCTGCTTTAAATTAAGAGCACTAATGTACAGTTGCAGCTACAGAGATTCAGGAGTCTGAGTCCTGGGGTGTCTTTTGTGGTCTTGCTGCACAGTGTTGCAGGTTGGGTCCAGGAACTCTCTTTCAGGGTTTGAAAGGTGAAGCGCACAATTATAAAACCGTCACATGTTCAGCACACTGAGCCGCCCCTCTGATGGCTGCCGTCAAATATGAGGAGGGACAGATTGAGTCACGGCACAGCTTTAACTGCCAAAGCAATTCCCTTCTTTTGGTCGTTTACAAAAATACCACTAAAATTATCTAAATGTAGTTTTGATGAGTTTGTGTAGCACATTGCCGATGAAAGCTGCCATCTACACATGCAGAATGTAATTAAGAGCAAATTCAGTCCATCTAAACCAAGAAGTTGAGGGAATTTCACTAAAAGCGTAAACCGTTGTTGTTGAGAAGCGACTTCTTAAGGCAAGGACTTAACAGGAAGCACGACCGGCTTCATGTGGACAGCTCTACAGCTCTCACTTTTGCCCTGACAACAGCACTGTCTCTCTGTTACTATGGAGAGGGAGACTATGGAGGCGGAGCCTGCCGAAGTGATGAGGAGAGAGTGTTTGTTGTTGTTTTTTCTCAGTCCGTTTCTGGAGATAAAATCCAAATCTAGAGGGAAGTCCCAGGCTGCTCCTGTTCTGCATAGTAAGCATCTGCAGTCAGCAGTGAAGGCGTCATCAGCACAGGTATCTGGATCTACCACAGCTCAGGGTTTTCTAGTTTGAGGAAGCCAGGGTCCTTGCGCAGTTCCCAGTACGTGTTGTTAGACACCCATCTCTCCCTCTGGTTACTGTCCATAACCTTCCTGTTACACAGAGGAAGCACAGGTTGAATTTACATTAGGTTAAGTCTCAAATGTGACCGTGGACCACAAAACCAGTCATAAGGGTCAATTTTTTAAAATAAAGATTTAAACATCATCTGAAAGCTGAATAAATGAGCTTTCCATTGATGTATGGTTTGTTAGGATGGGACAATATTTGGCTGAGATACAACTATTTGAAAATCTGGAATCTGAGGGTGCAAAAAAATCCAAATATTAAGAAAATCGCCTTTAAAGTTATCCAAATTAAGTTCTTAGCAATGCATATTACTAATCAAAAATTAAGTTGATATATTTACAATAGGAAATTTACAAAATATCTTCATGAAACATGATCTTTACTTAATATTCTAATGTTTTTTGGAACTTATTAATTGTAGGCCTAGCTGATCTAAACTCATGCACCTCTGTTTTTGAGAAAAAAAATAATATAATTTTGTAAATATTCACTCAAAAACTGAGGTGAATTAGCTCACATGAATGAGGCCTAGACTAAAATGGTTGTAAAAAGAAATTAAAAACCTTTGATAATTTGATAACTTTTAAGAAAAGTTGATTTGAAAAGTTTGAATCCAATATTTGGTAATAATATAGCATAAGACATAAGCTATTTTTTGTAGTCTGGTCATTTTTGACAGCACAAGTGTAACAAGGTGGGAAAAAACGTCCCAAAAAAATTGGGTTGGGTTGTTATTATACCCTGTGTGAGCACAGACAGTAGGTTTTAGTCTAATGCGATAACCATAACTAGTGTTTTCAGGACAAATAAAATCCCCTCTGGGTCAAAATGACCGAAACACAACATGAGGGTTAAAAGCATATTTTTCTATGTCATGTAGCACAAATAAAAAAAATTAAAAAATCAAAATTTCTACTGCATAGACAGCCAAGTTTTTTTTAAAGCCTATCTTGACAGCAATAAGTTTATCTTTAGAATAATCTTAAGAACAAAAAACAAAAAAAACAAAACAAAAATAAAAACAGAACATTCTTAAAGGGGTCATATGTAGGGATGGGTATCGTTAAGGTTTTGACGGTATTACTACTCTTACCGATACTGCTTATCGATTCGGTACTTTAACGGTATTCTTATCGGTACTTTTTGTTTATACACACATACATATATATATATATATGACAAATTAAGAGCTGAATTAACATTGCTTTATATTCTGAAATGTAAGATTAATATTTAATGAAATGATATACATCAATTTGTAAATGCACCAGTGTGCAGGCATTTTTAGTGTTTTATACTGTACATAAGACAAGATACAGTAAAAACATGAACAAAGAAACAAAGTAAAACAAACTGACAAATACAATAAAACAAATGTACAAATGAAATGAAATAAACAGTGCTTTCATTTTTCCATGAAGGTCTACTAACATTACTGTTCAGGTAAGTAATTACAAGTAAATAAGTATTACAAGTAAGTTAAGCAATTACAGTTTTGTATGTATTGATAGATTAATACTTATTAAAGCTATAACGTAATTCAGATTAAGAGCTGTGAGTGATTTTGTCTTTGCATTTTGTTGTTTGATTAACTGATGGCCCAAGCGCCAGTCTGTCACGTTAAGACAATATATTGACACACATCGGATTTTCTCCCAACTGTTCTCGTCCACTTAAGACATAAAATGTGTTGAAGTAAATACTCTCCAAACCGGCCATTTTGACATATTTTGTGTGACATATTGAAGAACACTTCAACCCAAATATTCAGATGTGTGCAGCACATTTTATGGAGGACTGTTTCTGAATCCAGCGCCAGGTCAGGAAAAAAAATATATTTAAAACATTTTTCTCACCTCAGGCCCCAAATTCCAATAATTCTTCTCATCATTCACTGAAGAAAGCGTTACATAATTTCAACTCTGTCACAGTAAGTTTGTAATTTGCATGTTTATAATCTGAATAGGTACTGTATATCCTGGCTTTGCACTTTACATTCAGTCCTGTTAGATTCAAAAATACATTTGTGGTTGAATGTTATGGGTCACTAAAAGAATGACAGTGTTAGTTAGCGAATACCGCTATCAGTATTTTGTGCAAATAACTATTGAGCTTTATAAGGACAATATAAATATATAAGTGTATAATATAAGTGTAACCATAATTGGTCAAAAAGACACTGATGGAGCCAGAAAGACAATAAACAGAATACATTTCTGCAGTAAAATATAGTAAAATATATTTTTGCAGAAACTAAACAGAAAATGTCAATTTTTAAATAAATATAGACGTAATTTTATTCTATATAACCTAGGGTGCTGGGTGATTACATATTAGGGACTAAATATTAGTATAAATTTGTCATATTAATCATTAAAATTAGTCAAAATTAAATGCTAACATTATTGTGACTGTTGAATTTCTCTGAATTGCAATTCCACTTCCAAATTTCAAACTCATAAATTGAAAGGAGATTTTTTGTTTGTTTGTTTTTTTAAATGATGAATTTTGCCCAAAGCCTGTGAAATGGGTGAATCCTCATTAAAACCCGAGAGCAGGAAGAGATCAATACAGAGAGAAGGTCCCGTCTACATGACAGGAGTTCAATAGCAGAAGAAGAAGAGGCAGGCAGATGAAGTGCACTCACTTAAAGAATCGCGGCTGGTGTTTGATGTTGTTCTCCTCCAGCCACTTCCTCCTGTTTCTCTGCTGCTCTTCGATTCTTTGTTTCTCAGCTGATGCCATCTGGACATTTCCTTCCTCCAGATACCTGTGAGACACATTAAACCAGAGCTTCACCACAGATGATTACTCAGCGCAAACTTTGTTCCACTGGTTTCTAGGAGTTCTGAAAGTGCTGAACTAAGCAAGAAACTCTCTCAGGGAGCAGGAAAATACATTTGAGACACTTTAAAATGGAGTTTAATTACAAAATGACATGAAAGGCTAAGCATTTCATTAGTTAATTTAAGTATTCATTTAAGTATTGAGTTTCACTCAAAATACCAAGTAAAAACAGGCTCTGATTCTTAAGAGATGCACAGCACAGTTTTACATGATTAGTGTTGAAATAGCTACTTTCTGCTTTAAAATTAATCACATACTGTATGATCGAAAGAACGTTAACACACGTTCCAGTTCATTTTGTTGAAATTATAACATCATATTATCACTTAACATCCCTAAAACCAGGATTATTTACATGCTATTATAATATTTGTTAATATTTTAGGTTTTAATATTTTTATTATAATTGTCAATAATAGTCCGTTTTAATAGTTTTTACCCTATATTTTTTATTTTAGTTTTAATTTTAGTAATTTTAGTACTTCAACTCAAAGGCAACTGTTCTAATTTTCAAGTTTTGGAAGCTTAAGTTTTTCATCTAAAATGTATATTCATTTAATATTTATATTTTTAGTATTAAAAATACTTTTTATAGTTTTAGTTATAATAATTAACACTAAAAGGAATTTTAAAGGTGCTGTATGTAATTTATAGCAGTCAAAAAATTACATACAGCACCTTTAAAGTCTCTTGGTGTTATTATTACTAAATTATTAAAACTAAAACTATAAAAAAGTATTTTTTGTATGATATGTAATAAAAATACCATGACACATTTGCAGATTTGTAGAAAACATTCTAAGTACACATTCTTATTTTTTCTAGAAAAAAAAGCTGCAGCCAGTTATTCTACATTGAAATGTGTATTCCGTGTCGGAATGTCTGTTTTTGTTTTGCTCTGTGTGGCTGCCCAATTATTATATTGTACTAACACCCACATTGGTTGCCAGATTGTGGAAAACTCAGCGTACTGTGGCCATGGAAGCCAGCAAACGATCTGGGTCAGAGATCACAGATTCTACCCCACATAGAACACCTCTGCATCAATCTAAAAAGCTCTATGACCAGAAGGAAAACTAAACTTTTAACAGGTAACACGTTTAAAATTCTTCTCTGGAAAAATAGGTCTAAAATATTGATACAAATGGTGCATAGAAATGTCCGTCTAAACAATGCACTCTAAAATCACAATGTCCCGGCCTCTACCTAATACCACCTCTTCCAGCCACTAGTAATAGCAAATAGTCTCATAGTCTTAATAGCAAGTGGTTTTCTAGTCAGTTTGTAACAAAGGAACTGACTGGAATTATTCCTTTTCATGAACCGTCTTCATTGTTCTCATCTATGTTACTTTCACTTTGCGGTTTCACTAGTAAATACGCCAATACTGCATGTGTCACACCATTTCATTGAGTCTTTATAAGTTGAGGTTTTCCTACAACACAAACACATGAAAAGCCACAGCTGTCAAAGCCTTTCAAAGATAAGCAAGGCTTTACGGAATCCTTCAAAACAAGGTCGAAATCATTTCTAGAGTGATTTTTCTTGTGAGGCTGTGGATCACTCTCCTCTGCCTCTAAACTACAGTATGTTTTTACAGTAAGAGTGTAATATGAGATGAGAAAGCTGCATGTACCTCTGGTCCGGCCTGAATCGAGCATCTGTTGGTGGCAGCAGCTCCTTCAGCTCAGGGCAGAGCTCATTGAGCTCTATAGCAAACCTGCTGAAGCCGTAGTACAGCTCATAATCTGTAGGCATAGACCCTGAACACACAAACACAAGAGAATCATCAATGTATGTGGAACATTAGCATTAGCATTAGCATCACGCTCAAACATCCGACTGCCTACACAGCATTAGATCTGCCCTCTGTTGTGTTGTGTAGGGTCATAACCGCAAATGACTGCTAAATTGAGAGCATTTATTATCATGGATATTTCCTACTGGCCATTAAAGTGTGCTTTATTAAATTTACCCATGTACTTTCTACGGTTCTGCCACAGTGTTTGGGTAGTTACCTGTTGGCCACTTACTTTTTCTTCTTCACCAGAAAAAAATCATACATTACTGTTCAAAAGTTTGGGGTCACTAAGTATTTTCTTTTTTTTTACAGTAAAATAGTAATTAAGTGAAATAACATTGGAATATAAAAATCATTACTCCAGTCTATCAGTGTCACACGATCCTTCAGAAATCATTCTGATATACTGATTTGCTGCTCAATAAACATTTCTTAATAATATCACTGTTAAAAACAGTTGCGCTGCTTAATACTTGTATATCTTTGATGAATAGAAAGTTCAAAAGAACAGCATTCATTTAAAAAAGAAATAGTAATAGTGTCTTTACTGTCACTTTTGATAAACTAAACATGTCCTTTCTGAATAAAACTATTAATTAATTTAAAAAAAATACGTAAGTAAGTGATGAGATGTAAGTCCAAAAATGCATAACAGATACTGATCTTTTCATTAGTAGACTGGTTAGGATCTCTTTGGTATGATCCACTCACCTCACTTAAAGGGGTCATGAACTGAGAAACCAAAATTGCCTTTATCATTTGACATATAAGAGGTCACTGTACTATAAAAACATCCTGTAAGTTTCAGAACTCTCTCCCCAGGGGCACAGAACTTTCTCATTAGTCAAAAAACAGATTATATTGAAGCCAGTCTGTTAAAACGACAGCTTGTGGAATGTACGACTCTATGATGTAATAGAGTGGATAAGCTCCGCCTCCGCAGAAGATCATCAACGCCTGCTTCTACATTGCTGCCTGTTTAGCCCCGCCCACCGATTTGCGCATATGGTGTTTACGAGAGAGGCGAACACTCAGATCTATGAAGAAACCAAACGATAAAGATGCTGCGAAGACAACAAGACGCTGTGCAGTGCCAAGTTGTGGAAAAAATTGTATTTGCTTTGCCTTCCTTCTGATCCCAACGTTAGGAAAGAGTGGATGGACTTTATTTTTAATGAAGATCCAGACTGCGTCGGTAAAAACTTCTGCTAGCTGTTCCACCATTGGAACATGCTGTAGGTCGAGCTCCCTCTCGATTGAGAGCTGGATGTTTGCTCCCTCAGCTACAGATTTACTGCTAGTCACTCCAGCATATTAGCCGTAGATTGACTTGATGACTTCTCAAACATAGCGTTTTGGGATGCGCCATTTCCATCTATGGGCTGCTCTTTCAGAGTGCCACGAGAACCCCTTAGAACAGTATTTTTAAATCCATGTTATGGTAAGTGTGCACTTACTGCATTGTTCACTTCATTTTACCGCGGACTCATTTACAAACAAGGCACAATTCGACATAGGATTTTCAGAAAGATTGAAACTAAAAGATGATGCTGTGCTGAATATATTGGATATGACAGTAATGTCGCAAGACACAAGTGTGAGTAACTGTTGTTATTACGTGATCACTATTGCTTTGTCTGTTAAACAGATCGTTTGATATGAGTATTTAAGCGTTTTAAACCTAATCACAGCAGCGTCCATCTGTGAAGGATGTAGGCTGTCAAAGATACACAACTATTAGCCAATCACAGCAGTGGGTGTTTACTTCCTAGTCTACAATCTTCTACGCCAATTCAAACAGAGCGTTCTAATGAGGGGGGTTAAAACAGGACAGAAAAAAAGTAGCTTATTACTTCTAAATTATGATTTTTGATGTAAAAATCTTGATAACATTACAAGTAGACCTCAGAGAACAGTACAACATAAAAAACAGAGGCAGTTCATGACCCCTTTAAGTGAGGGTATTACTTTAGGTACATTTTATTACCTTTTATATTACATACTGTGCTAGTCCACTTTCTACTAGCAATTGGCACATTGTGGGTGTTCATTCTGGGCCCTGTGAGTGTATATACCTGGTCTCCAGATGCATTTGGCTGAAGGTGGGACTCCACAGTACAGACCCTCATGCCATTTCCCAAACAGTCTGTGAATGACTTTTCCCTCCTGGTCCATCACAGATCCTTGCACCTCATTCACATTCGAGCTCCAGTAGTTTCCCTGGACACACACACACACACAGATTAGGGCTGGGAATCTCTAGACACCCCACATTTAGATTCTGATTCATGATATGATTATGAAACAATGTGCACATGGCCTTCTGTTGCAAATATAGAGCGGATATAATTTTACCTATGCAAAAGTGACAGTAAAGACATTTTAAATAAATGTGTTCTTTTGAACTTTTTATTTACTAAAGAATCTAGAAAAAAGTATCATGGTTTCCACAAAAACATGACAACTTTTTTGAACACTGATAATCATAAAAAACATTTAATAATTCCTAAATAATTTTAAATTATTTGTAATTCCATCACAGGAATAAATTACAATAAAAAATATATTCAAATCAAAAACAGTTCTTTTAAATTGTAATAATGTTTCACAATATTACTGATTTCACTGAATTTTTGATCATATAATTGTGAACATACTTTAAGAATCTTCTTTCAAAAACAAAACAAAAAAATATTACCAACCCCAAACTTTTGAACGGTAGTGTACATTTAGTATAGAGTTCATTACACTGGTTGGTTGTTTTCTTTAAATGTGATGTGTGGAAAGACAACTATAAGTTCATCATTTGTAGGTTTATTTACCATATAAAGCCCAAAACTGTCAGTCTGCTTTCAAAACACCGCTCTGTTCATTTGAGCATCCACAGTGTGAGATTACACATTTTACCATACAAACAAAGTAAAATAAAGACTGCTCATCCTTTTTTGGCTGTTCAACTTATCTGAAAACTCGACTAGTGTATGTTAGTTTGCACAAACACCACCATCTAAACCACTGGTTCTCAATCGATTCAAAGGCCCTCCTATCTAAGCTTCTGCAGAGCCGGCGCCAGAGCAGCACTATAGACGAGGCGTCTGAAGTAATGAAACGGGGCGATGACGTAACACAAAGTATCCCCAGCTAGTGGACCATTCACATATTCGTCGTGGGCATAAGCAAATCTGTTATTACTACAACTATGAAACTAAAAAGCTACTAAACAGCATTCAGATGATTAATGAACTGAACTGAATTTAACTGAATAATATTGCTACATAAAACAAAAAGAAAAATTGCCCAGGCCAACATATTAAACAATAATGAAAATAAAAATGAAATAACAAAAACTTTGACTCGATATTCATGAAACAATATAAATAATTATATCATGCCGGCCCTGTACTTGTCTTTTAATAAAAATAAACTCAAAAATATAATGTCAGTATAATGTTATAATGTACATCTTTATTTTGGTGTTTTTTTAATCATTTTAATTACAATTATTTTAACATAACTACATTTTAAAAAATTTAAGACTAGTGGCCTTCTAGTGGTTGAGAACCATGGACTTACCCATTTGTGATATATATATATGCTGTTGCAGATGAGCATGTACCTTAACAAAGGTGAGTTTGCAGATGCAGGTAGTGTTGCGGGTGTTTCTGATCGTGACCTCGCCGTAATTTTCTATCCATCGCCTCCCGGTCAGAATGTTGTGGATGCACGTCGTCACCTTGTTCCACTCATAGTGATCACCATAACTGCCAACACATGCAAAAAAACATGACACTGAGAGTCAGGCAGACGAAGGGACAGATGCAGGGTGAATAAATGGTGCAGAGAAACAGACAGGACTGTACCTGGGCAGCATGACATTCACTGTTCCGATGGGAAGAATCTCCATAGACTTTCCCCAAAACTTATTCTTCCATCTGACGTCTGACACACAAACACACACACACACACACACACACACTTGAGTGTGATAATAAAAAGTCTTTGATACCACTCCTATATTTAACTCTCAGTCTTACCTTGCCAGAAGGTGAAGTTCTGTGACTCACAGTGACAAGCGGAGATGGGCGGATGATGGCTCACCTGTACACAGACAGAAAGATGTAATCACCCGCACAAGTTTATTAATAAAGCACAGCAAGAAGCATTTCTATAGCAAAATTAATTCACAAATTAATATTAACTAGATTTCTGTCATGACAACTCTTGGAGGGTTTGGCATGGTAATATACATGACAATGTTAATGTGTTTGGTATTGGCGGAATAGATCTGCTGCTGCTGCTGCTGCTGCTGCGGCAGAGCAAGCACCGAGCTTTGTTACTGCCAACACATCCACAACATGTTGCTGTAAGCATGCAAGAAATACTGCTGCTGCACATATATATGAATAACCCCCATATGGCATACATGAATCACCCCGTAGCAGATCTATACAGGTGGAGCTGGGGAAGGTGGAGGGTTTCTGAAATGTTGAGCAGCACACATTGGCTGCTGATACAAAAAGAACCAATCAGCTGTGCCATGTGATAAAGATGCCATTATGTCAGATTGAATTAGAACTATCGGTAGAGATGGATACCGTAACCCAGTATTAAATGGGCCCTGGGCCTAAATTATGAAAGGCCGGAGTATCGATAAGCTCTGACGTTAATGGTTCTGCTGTTGAGACATCTACTGGAGAAATTAAGAAAATACACATGCATTTATTATTGCTATATAGACATTATCTTGCAAATTCTATCTTGCCAGAGTCGCCAGCGGTTTTTATATGCAATAATATTAGGACATTTGTCTATAATGCATTTTATGATGCATTTGCCTTTCACAGTCGAGTTTAAAATATTCTAGCGGTCCCCCCAGAGTGAGTTTTTTTAGGCGACCGTTATTTTAGAACTTTTCTCCTTATTGTTTCCATGTCGACGCGTCATGCTTGTCACGTGACACACAGTAACACTGTATGACAGATGGATCGCTTTTATTTAGTTTTTCTTCAAAATATTCATAAACTTGCTTACCATATCATCAACTATCTGATATTCCGATTCACAAATATGTATAAATGAGTGTTTTGTCATTTAAAAACCATTCTAAATGATCTTGATCTTGACCATGTTTGTTCGCGCTGCAGTGTCCTGTCAGTCAGATTTACAGCACGTAAATTCATCAATTTCTCCCGAAATACATGCAAATAAGTGGCCGGTGAACTGGGAGAAGAATAGAGTGAACTTTATAGTTACTTACACTATGTCTATCTGATATTAATAAAACACGTCGGCAAATTATATTTGAATGGATTGTTATTGCTGCTTCCATAAACATCCGTGTGTATTTTATGAACTCTAAAAGTATTGTTTTACTAGTACTTATATGCATTTAAATGTCTGAAACCTAAAATAAACATTATGTGGTTAAAAACACTGCATAGTTGTGATTATATGACAAGTGCAGCGGCGTCTCAGCGTCAGCCAAAGCGCGAAAACGCAGTTTGAATTTGGCAGTTATGTTACAGTTACTCCCAGGGGCACGGAAATAAAAATCCCATATGTGGGACCATACCACAGACTGTAAAAAAAGATGGACGACACACCTTCAATCTCTTCCACTGAAGAAAAGTGAAGCCGCCATTGTCCCAACAGGGCGCGGCCATATTGCGCTGATTTGGAACTGGAGTCTGCGCAGTAGAGAACTCGGGACCAGAGTCTGCGCAGTAGCGAGCGAAGTAGAGCCGCGTCCCGCCCACACTCCCGCAGAGTCGATTGCAAGCATACGCCCCTGTCCCTGTTTTAATTAGCCTGACTGCTCCAGTTTTTGTCTGCTGAGAGGATTGTGTTAAAATAAGGTAAATACAACTCCAATATCCT